GACGAGTTCCTCCATCCGCACGCGCAGAGGCTATCACTGCTGCTGCAACCTTCTCGCCGCTCTTCGTCATTGTTCCATCCAGCTGATGACAAGGTTCCACCTGTCAACAACACTTATTGCTGAGTTGGTTCATTGACTGACAGACCCACCACAAGCAGCTGCAGTGCAAGTCTAGGTACTACGTACAAAATATTGTACGGCCCCATTGGAGCTAACAGTTTCAAAGACCTGTTCTGCAAAGCATGATGTGATAGGTCCATTCAGAGACCCACAAGCACTCACCAGGAGCCAATTGAATGTCACTTGGTCGGTTGAGCGACGCGAATGATAGGCAACCCATGACCCTTCTGCACAGCGCAGCACGGACTGCCCGCGTCCGCCAAGCGTCAAGCTGCAGCCCACATATGCGAACGGCGCGTAGCACTCAATGTTTCCAGCTCCATTTCATCAACAGCAAATAGAGAGCTTTGCTAACAAGTCGATGGGTTAACGAGTCGTTCCCACCCGAGTCGCCTCGCCACACTTGACTCAACTTCCGAAAGCACGCTCGGAGGCAGCGGTACATAATCATCCCGGATGATGTTTTACGAAGAACTGCAGCACGCTCGAAGCAGCGGTACATAAACTGGGCCAGTTCCAAAGCTTTGTTTGGGGGAAACACACTGCCGCAGACTGCTTTTTCTACCCCTGCTTCTCGAGGCCTTGCACTAGTTGCCGAGCCTCTGGTGGAAATTGCGAGCCGTGTCCCTGAGGTCCTCGTCGTCGCGTTCGAGTGCAAAGAAACGCGGAGGAATTCTGTCTCAGGATAAGCACAAGGAACGGAACATCTGTCTGCTCAGCCTGAGCCCCCTCTGAAAAAGCTGCTCTGTTTTTCTCTCTCCCCCTCTTTTTTGTCATTGCGGAAAGAGTTGCACTGTCAAACGCTGAACTGCTCAGCACCACTACTAGCTACCGCGTTACAATCACTACTACAAGCAGAATGAGCACCATTTTGTGACCGCTCACTGTCGATTATTAAGTTTGTTTCTCAGAGTTTGTGCATCATGCCTGCATCAGCCTCTAGCTCACCCTGATCAGTCCCAGAACCTTTCACTGGCCGCTCACAAGTCCGAATCCCGAGGCTCTGCCAGAGCGCGAACAGCTGTCAGCTGAGGCGGCTCTGCACGATTCAACTTCTCTAAATCTCTTTGACATGATGGCGGCCTTTGAACTGCCGCACTTCACATGCCTCGTGTGCGGAGCTCGTTTCCGCTCGCTGCAGGCGCTCGGCGGGCACAAATCCGCGCACAACGGGGGGAACAGTGCCGCCGCCAGGGACAATACTAGGGGGGGCGGTAAGGGGGGAAGCGGAAGAAGTCGCAGCCCGCTCGCCTCTACCCGTTGGCTTCCATCAGTGCTAGGCAGCGCGGGAAAGCTGCTACAAACACCAGGCGAAGGCGGAACTACTAATAAAGCCATGAGTAGCGGTTCTTTTCCAGGCTACTACTATGTGAATCTTCAAGAGGAATCTTGCACGCCTGGCAGTAGTAGTAAACGTGTCAGAGATGCTTTCTCAGCTGCTGCCACTATCGCAACTGGCGCCGCCACCACACCAACCGACGCCACTGCTACTGCCGCTTCCACTGCTGCTGCAGTTGGTTCGGCTGGAGGAGCTGCATTCTTTATAAGCTCGAAATGGGGCACCGTGCGCCAGCGGGTGCAGCAGCACTCTAATAACGAGATCACTGCTGCTGGCGCTGGCGCTGGTTCTGCCGCTGCTGCTGCTGTTCATGGGGCAGCGCTAATGCTGGGAGAACCATACAGAACAGCAGAGAACAACCAGCGTCGCTGGCTGTCACACCTCTTCCCATCCCAACGGCCTCTGCCACAAATGGTTGACGCCTCTTCCTGTCCCCCCCTGCTACAGTCACCAAGAGGACTCAAGGATGCACGCGTGGCACCTTCTGATGCATACAGTAGACCTGCTGACGTGTTTGGCACCCCTGCTGACGCATGTCAATCATATGCCAGCTCAGCATGGAGGGGATCGTGGGGCGGAGCAGAGAAGGTGCGTGGCATGCCACCCAGCGCCAGCGTCATGCGGACATATCATTCAAGGCTGCTGCTGAATGCCACGTGGCAGGACAATCCCTTCTCATCCATGCCACCTGGACCACCCATTATGGATAAACCCGCAGCAACGGCGAATGCAACTCACCCCGCTACACCTGCAAATGCTGCAATCACCCCAGCTACAACCACGAGCATCGCAGCAGCCAACACAGCAGCTGCTGCTGCAGCCGATGAAAGGGTGGAGGGAAACGCAACAGCAGCATTGGCAGCATCGGCATCAATTGCAGCACGAGCAGCAGCAGCAGGAGTGGCAGCAGCAGCAGCAGCAGCAGCAGCAGCAGCAGCAACTGCAACGGCAGCAGATGCAGCAGCAACGGCACCTCCGTGGATGCGACTTTGGCTGCTGCAGCGACAAGCACTCTCCGCCCTTGCTGCTGGCCCCCGCCCCTTCCCTTCCGCACCACCATTCGCCCACACCTCTGCCGACTCATTCAAAAGAACACCCGTTTCCGAGCCCACTAAAACATATGGAATCCCCGCCACTGCTACCGCCATCGGCGTCCACCCATTCCGTTCCGCTCCACCATTTGTCAGTAATTCTGCCAATCCATTCAAGATGGTGACAGTCCAGCCTCCAGCCAATCAGCTCAGTCCGCGCCCGGTTCCACATCCACGTCAGCAAATGCTGGAGATGCCTACGTGGCCGCTGGAGGCACCTTCCTGGATGCTTCGTGATGCAAGGCCAGTGAGGACGCGCACGTGCGTGGACGGCGAGTCGTCTGGTGGTGCGGCTGGTACCCAATCTGGAGCTGCCACGTGGCATGGGATGGAGGACGCACGAATAGGAGAAAGGGGACGGAGCAGCACTGGTGGTGGTGGTGGCCATGGTGGTGGTGATCCGGTGAGGGAAGGGGTACGGAGAGAGGCGGTGAATGCAGAGCACACGGAGCAGCATCTGAGCGGGTGTATGAGGGAGATGGGGAAGTGGAGGAGGAGGAACGCGAGGATGAGAAATGATTGTTCAAGGGAGAAGGAGGAGGAGAGGAGGAGGAGCAGCAGCGGCGGTTTTACGAGCCAGTCTCTGCCGGCGTCTAGGAGCCTCGAGGCATGGATGGAGGCAATGGGGATGCGACGACAAGCCGCTGCTGCTCGGCATGCCGCTTCTCACGATCAGCTGCCCCAGGGAGCCCTCCCTGCACGCCCTGCTGCTGTTGCTGCTTCTTCTAATGCTGCTGCAGCTGCTGCTGCTGCCGATGCAGCTTTTGGTGTCGATTATTCTGCTGTCGGTGGTTGTGGTAATGTTGGCGGTGGCTCTGATGTTAGCAGAGGTGGTCGCAGCAGTGAAGGCCGGTTGACTCTGGAGCAGCAGATTCAGGAGATGTTGGACAATCTGCCGGCTGCTCCTCCTCCCTCCCCCAACCAAACACCACCCCCTCCTGCTGCTGCTGCTTTGCCTACTGCTGCTGCTGCTGCTTTGCCTACTCCAGTCGAGTTTGCTGATCCTGCTGCTACCGCTCCCTCTGCTGCTCCGACTGCTGCTGCTAGTTTCCGAACTGCTGCTGCTGCCGAAGCAATCGCTGCTCGAGCTGGCACTAGCAGTGCATGGGGGGATAGGGCGGATGAGCTGGAGGCTCGGAAAATTTCCAAGGCTTGGCAAGAACTAAACCAGGAACGGGAGGACCGGAGAGAAGACCAGAGGGAAGGAGGTTTTGGGGAGGAAGGGCAAGGAAGTCCGAGGGAAAAGACAGAAGGAAAATTGGGGAAGGGAAGGGAAGGAAGAGTGCAAACGGGGAGGGAATGGAAGCAGGCAGTCTGGGAGGAGGAAAGACAGGGGGAGGGGTCTGATACGGCACTAACAGAGCAATCAGAGCATACAGAGTCTAATCCTGCTGCAAGTGATGGGATAGGCAATCGCGCATGTGGCGGCTGTGGTGTAGATACTGTAGCAATGGCTCTGGGTGTTGATATTGTAGCTAGACAGGTTACCTTAGATCTGTCACTACACCTGTAAATACCATATAAACAACAAATAATCAATAAGTATCGTCTTTCAGACTTAACCTCAACCTGCAAGGCAAAAGCAAGACAAGTCATTTCAAACCCCACAGCAGCCCATAGAAGCATCAATCAAGCACAACACAACCCACCACCATACTTTCTACCAGTCGGGGTTAATTACCCAAAAAAAAACTCACTTAAGCACCCCACTCCTTCTCAGCACACCCCACTCCTCACCGCACTCCACTCCTCAGCAAACCCTACAGATCTTACGGCAGAATCCCAGCTCATACTGCATCTTCCCCGTGCCCTTCATGAACTTTGGGTTCCGCTTGGTGCCCAGTTGCCACACTCCCCAACTTGGTGCCCAGTTGCCACACTCCGCTCCTCCTCACCGCACTCCACTCCTCAGCAGACCCTACAGCTCTTGCGGCAAAAACCCAGCTCATACTGTGTCCTCCCCGTGCCCTTCATGAACTTTGGGTTCTTCTCACACTCGCCCGCCCTCGCCCAGTCGCCACAGTTCGCATCGTCGTCCTGACACGTGCGGATTGCGGAAGCAGAAGACAGGACCACACGTGCGGGTGGGTGAAGTAGAAGACACGACCACACGTGCGGGTGGGTGAAGTAGAAGACACGACCACACGTGCGGGTGGGTGAAGTAGAAGACATGACCACACGTGCGGGTGGGTGAAAGGACAAGACACATGAGAAGAAGAGACAATTGTCTTCGTCTCACCCACCCGCAGCAGAAGACAACGCACATGCAAGAAGAGAGAATGGGGTGCTGAGCATGTGGTTCGAGATTGCACGCGCGCGCACACACACAAGCACACTCGTCCGGGTCACGGGAGGGCGAAACATGAGAAGACGACACATGCAAGATGCACGTACCCACAGCCAGCAAAAGTACCATACGTGCTCAACACAACACAACACACACTACCTACCTGGCACACGTCCGGGTCACGGAAGGGCGGGTCAAAGGAGTCAACGTGGATCCACTTGGTGGCCGACCACTTCTCTCCTTCGATCACAGGGCAGCCGGAGTGCAGTGAGGCTGTATCAAAGGAGCCATTGGGGTTCATGCTGAAAAAGAGCAGCGCACTGCCCTTGGCTGGCTTCACTGCAGTTTAGGGGATTGAGGGTAGGGAGGCAAAAAAAGGCAACCCAAGTGCAGCGAGGCTGTATTGAAGGAGCCGTTGGGGTTCATGCTGAAGAAGAGGAGCGCACTGCTCAAGATATTGGGTCAGGGATCATTAATGATTTGCAAGGAGAGATGCGCGCAAGGCGTTTGACATGCACAGGGGGATTTGGGTTGGAGTGTAAGAGGATTTCCCCTAGCCTTCATGCCATGCCATGCAAATGCTCTTCCCCTCTTCCCTGCCCATCCCTGATTTGCCACCACAGACATGCCATGACATGCCATGACATGGTGCCATCCCTGCAGTGCATGCCGTCACACCACATACACACCAGCACCGCTCTGCACACCATACCACCACCACCACCACCACCACCAACACTCTGCACACCACATTACAGCGCTCTGCAAACCACCAGCACCGCTCTGCATACCTGCAATTCCCTGCTTGCCGCAGTCACTCCAGCTGTCATCCTTCACTGTGGAGTCCTCCTGGTGCGGACAAGATCAGGGGAAGAGGGGAGTGAGGAGGGGGAGTCAAGGAGAGAGGGAGGGGAAAAGGGAGGAGAGATGGAAAGTGGGGAAGGAGAGTAGGGGAAGAGAGGTGAATTCGGAAAGGTTAGTTCGGTATATGGTCTGAACTAATTTGATTCGGTCCGATTAAACATACAGTGTGTGCTGCTTACTGCAAACGGACTTAGCAGCACATTCCATTCCATTTCACACGCTGTGTGCACTGCACTGTGTGCATCACTCACCTCAGACTGTGGGAACACGGTCTCCCCACCTTTCACCACGTCCGTGAGGTACATGAGCACGGTGGCGTATCAAACAGCAATCACATTGGATTTCACTCCCTTTCACAGCGTTGATCGCTCACCTCAGACTGCGGGAACACAGTCTCTCCACCCTTGACCACGTCAGTGAGGTACATGAGCACAGTGGCGTATCGGGGCCCGCCCGGCTGGGCGGTCTTATCGTCATAATAGTCCCAGTGGGCGCCGTACTTCTGCCCGTACTGGTACTGCAGCACCTGCATCGCCTCCTGGTTGGCTGGATATCATAGGGAGTGGAGTGAGAAAAGGGGAGAACGTTGAAGGAGGTGCTGGGGAACTGGGGAGGGGATGCTGGGAGGAGGAGAAAGAGGCCACAGGAGCACAGCCTTCCCCGGTGCCGCCTTTGATCGATGGTGAGGGTCTTATCGTCGTAGTAGTCCCAGCGTGCGCCGTACTTCTGCCCGTGCTGGTACTGCAGCACCAGCATCGCCTCCTGGTTGGCTGGCAATGGGTTGTGTGAGAGAAAGGGAGGGTGAAGATTGAAGGTTGGCGGACACAAATGGTTGAAATCGTCTAAAGATTGCGCATGCCCATATCCATCCCCGTCCCCGTGCCCATGCTCATGCCCATGCCCATGCTCATGCCCACACCCATGCTCATGCCCATGCCCATGCTCATGCCCACCCCCATCCCCATCCCCATGCCCATGCCTACGCCTATGCCCATCCCCATGGTATGCATGAAGGAGGGGCATGGCGGAAGGAACGTACCAAGAGGCAGGAAGGTCCAGTCACCAATGCGCTCTTCTATGCGCATGATGACTGGGTCCTGGTGGGGACAGGGCGAGACAGGTGAGGGCACGGGGCGGAGAGCGAGAGTAAGGGGCGTGTAGGGAGGGGCTTGCCTTGCCTAGGGGCAGGAAGGTCCAGTCGCCAATGTGCTCCTCTATGCGCTTGGTGACGGGTTCTGGTGGTGGGGGCGGGGGGGAGACAAGCCGTGCACAGGAGGCACTACGCTTGTGTCACGACTGAGAATGCTCTCAAAAGTGACACAGGAAGGTCCCGTTGCCAATGCGCTTGATGACGGGGTCCTGGTGAGGACAGGGCGAGACAGGTGAGGGCACGGGGCGGAGAGTGAGAGTCAGGGCCGTGACGAGCTTGCCTTGCCTTGCCTAGGGGCAGGAAGGTCCAGTCACCAATGCGCTCCTCTATGCGCTTGATGACTGGGTCCTGGTGAGGACAGGGGGGGGGGGCAGGTGAGCTGAGCATAAGAGGACATGTGAGAGAAGGAAGAGTTGGGCAGTCAATGAAGATTCTATTGCCTATCACCTTGAAATACCCATCAATTAAATTTCTACTGCTTAGCACCTTGTACTTATCAATGAAGTTTCTAGTGCATATCACCTTGCACTTATCAATGAGGTTTCTATTGCTTATCACCTTGTACTTATCGATGAAGCAGCCATTGCTGGTCCGGATGGTGTCAACCACGCTCTTCCCTCCCTGCCCCACCACTGTCGACCGCTCCATTAGTGGGCGCGACTGCCGAGAGAGACACAGGGTGGAAGGGGAGGGGACAGGGGGCCAAAGGGACGGGACAGGGTGGCCAAACGGAGGGGAGAGGGGGCGAAAAAAGGGGGGACAGGGGTCGCAATAGATCAGCCATTGCTGGTTCGAATGGTGTCGACCACGCTCTTCCCTCCCTGCCCCACCACTGTCGACCACTCCATTAGCGGGCGCGACTGCACAGGGAGAGACAAGGGGGCAAGGGGAGGGGACAGGGGACAGAATGTGAGGGGAAAGGGGGCATAAAGCGAGGGGAAAGGGGGCATAAAGCAAGGGGAAAGGAGGGACAGAGACAACGGGAGGGGGGCAGAGAAGCAGCAGGTGGCGAGACTGGTTCATGTAATCCCTCACTTCACTACCACCATGCGCCAATTGACAACCGGGAGTTCAAAGTGTTAGAACTCAGAAACGATGGGCGATGAAACCATGCATCCACAGACGGACATCACGAAGGGGTTAAGGGCGGTGTTTCACGGTTTCCAATGGGCGCCTACACAAAGCAAAAAATGGATCTAGGGAAATAGTGGGACTGGAGAGTTGAAAGAAAACGGAAGGAGCAGCTACAAGCACGGAGAGATTCAACGAAGTCCAGATGGGGAGAAAAAGGTGGGGGTCAGACGGTGAAGGAGAGGAAGGGAAGATGGAAAGGAATCAGTGCAGTGGCCCGGGGTGAAAAGAACGATGTAATCACAGAACGAGAGTGGGGGGGAAAGAAGGAAAGGCGGGCCAAGAGGAAGTGGTGTAGGCCATGGTGATCGCATAGCATGTTGACGATATAGTGATCACAGAACGAGGAGCGGGGGGAAAAGAAAGTAAGGTGGGCCAAGAGGAAGTGGTGGGAGGGTGATGTGCTAGCATACCATGTTGACGATGTAATCACACTCCGCAGCAGAGAGGAAATTGGGATAAAGGAAAGCCCTGCGGAGGGAATAATGAATGCGATGAAGGAGGGTCAGAGGAGGGGGTTGACGGAGGGAGAGAGTGGGGAGAGAGAGCAGCGGTATAGGGAGACGGATGGGAAGTGTGGAGGAATTGATAGGGGGTTGAGTGAAAGAGACGTTAGAGGAAGTGCGATGAGACGGAAAACCTTTCACGATTTGTGGTTCGAAGTAAGACAGGTTGTTGAGAGGAGGGAGGGGTCTGGAGGGAATGGGTCTCGAGGAATGGCGAGAAATGCTCAGGACCAACCATTCCCACATGTATCCCCGCAATAATCCCCATTTATCCCCCCATCCAAACCCGCATCCACCACATCCCCCACATCCCCCGCATAGTCTACACCGTTAAATGCCTCTGTGACGCACCTGGGCTTCCATGCGAGCTGCTTGATTCGAGAGGGGTCCGGAATGTAATCCGGCGGGATGTTCAGTCCCGGCGCTGACAAGGTGCTGTAGGGGATAACTCGCGTTACACGGATGGGTTGCAAGGACACGTGACACGTGTTACTAGTACGATTTTAAGGCCACTAGACAAGTGTTCACTTTCCTTTGTGCAAGAGATCTCGTCGCATCTTTTGAAAGCCGCGAAGTCAGCAGGTATGGTCAGGAAATGGCCGACAGATGCCAAGAGAAAAAATTGTACTACAAGGCATCACGAATGCGATATCCTCTCTGAGAATCACCACGAAGTCAAAAGAGGTGGCCAGAAACCTGAACCAATGTTGTAACCCTAACCGGCGGTAATGATGATCTGCTTACCCTTTTTGCGTTTCGTCAGTTGATAACGCCAACGCTGAAGCAGCCGCGAGGAAGAATGGAAGAAGAAATTCGAGAACAAGATGCCTCTTCCGCATTTTGGAATATTACGTATGCGCTGAACCAGAAGGGAATACGTGTGGAAGGATCGACAGACCTCTTTCTCCGCTAGAAACGTAAGAACAGACGAGACGCGCGGCGACTACATGAATTTGTACTAAGTTCTTGAGTCAGGGCTGATTGCGCCTTGGGGTCTAGGAACAAGAAACGGCCGCCATTAGAGTTTTCCTCAAACCAAATGTGTGTGATGGGAATTCAGGTTAGACGGAGTCCGAGCATGAGTGCTGAGGGTTGGAGGGCATGCTACTCGGTTGAGTGTGTTTTACAACGTGGCAGCGCGGTACACTGTCAACCTCGGTGTGGGAGAGGAACTGGCATTGAGAATGGTGATGCTGATGGATGCAGGGGGGTTTCCAAGGTTTAGGCGAGTACGGTCCACAGAAAACTGTAACTTTCGCGGTTCTTCGCGGTGATTTTGACGACAAACTCCCTCGCTTCTCATTTGCTCGATCCAGGTGGTGCGGTCAAATTGCCCAATCTCGTTACACCAGAGATTCTTGGGAACTGGCGAAACCTGACCAGATGGTTCGCGAAGCCAGGTTCCTCCCCCTTGGATTCATCGAGAGCGCCGTGACATGACACAAGATTCCTTCAGAACCCTATGGAAACGCTTTGAAATATAAACGAAACATACTTCACCACATGAAAATGCATCAACACGGAATAACCCCCCCACAGCTCCTTTCATCAGCTATCTCCAGGATTTCCACAGCAATTTCTGCTCACTCCATTCAGCCGACATTTTTTCCTCCGGTTTACCATTTCCCATTCCCAGACTGCGAGCATCTACGACCGTTTCCCATTGTGTCTTTTCCCAGCCACCCTTCCCACAAGCTTCTTGAGTGCACTCTTCATACGGTTCTCGTAATGGAAGCCACGCGGCTATGGCTGCTTCTCGCCGTTATCTGCGCAGCATGGCCTAGTCTTACCTCGTGTCAGGCGGAGTCTGAGGCGTACCCTGGATGGCAGGCGGACAAGTGAGAATCTGAGTTATTTAGCCTTTTAGTTCGTATCACAGCTGAAATTCGGCTATGTCCATTGACAGCAGCAGCAGTAATGCTGGATTATCCTATAGAGTTTCTAGCGCGCGTTTCGGTGACATTTTTATCTAGGGGCACACGTATATCCAGCCGTTGTGTACTAATTTCCGTCTCCTACTCCGTCATGCTCCGTTACAAACTGTCATGTCCCGTCAACCAGGTTCGGGGTGGCGGATATCAATCCAGCAGTGGCCGACGGGAACCTCACAGAACCGCGCGTCACCGTGCTGTCGTGGAAGCCAAGGTACGAGATAATCTTCTGTTCAAATGGCAGTGGACCTTCTAACGGTTAAATTCCATGAGTCATTACAGTATCTATGTCTGTCAGGGGTGAATTCGTGCTGGTTTGGAAATTGTGCCTAGGCGCTCCCTGACAGTGTTAAGCACATTCGAATCTTTATAATCCCACTAGCCGTATTCGCTGTCGATTTATCCTCGTCAATCCCGTCTCCCACCTTTCTCCCACCGCGGTATAAGCCGATCTTCAGAACATCCACATCCCTCGTCCGCTCTCCACCTTCCAAATCCCCCTTTCGCCCCATCCGTCCTCCACATCCCTCCTTCTCACTCCACCCTCCCCATCCTTCATTCACTCGTGTTACCACTACCAGGGACTATACACGATACCATCAATTCTTCTCCCACCACCGTCCTCATCCCCCCATCCGTCCACTTGTACTACCACCACCAGGGCTTTTCTCTACCACAAGTTTCTGACGCCAGAGGAGTGCGACCACATTATCTCCCTGGTGAGACTGGGGGGCGCACCCTCTGTAGTCAAATCTTCGCCCTGCTGAGACTGACTTTTGAGACCCCTCACAAGGCCTCACAAGGCCTCACAAGGCCTCACAAGGCCTCACAAGGCCTCACAAGGCCTCACAAGGCCTCACAAGGCCTCACAAGGCCTCACAAGGCCTCTCAAGGCCTCACAAGGCCTCTCAAGGCCTCACAAGGCCTCACAAGGCCTCTCAAGGCCTCACAAGGCCTCACAAGGCCTCTCAAGGCCTCACAAGGCCTCAGCAGTTGAGCCGCCTCAAAAGTGTTTCCTCTACCACACGGTTCTGACCCAGAGGAGTGCGACCACATCATCGCCCTGGTAAGACTGAGAGAGGCGCTCGCTCTAGTCACATGGTCGCCCTGTTGGGATGCTCGTTTTAGTCACACATCACCGCATGGTGAGAGCGGCTCACTGCTGTGACGTCACACCACCCTGTCTGTGTTCCAGGTTTCCATCCAAAGCCTTGATCCCCCCACCAACAGCCTCATGTCCTTCCCCGAATTACCCCCCTACTACACCTACTCCCCTGCCCTCCTTCCCTCGCCACCACACCCACCCTGGCTTCGCACCTCTCACCTGTCGCATGCCCCTCATGTGTCCCCGAACCACACTGCCAGGCACGGCCGCGCCTGGAGCGGTCGGAGGTGGTGGCTCGGGAGGGAGAGGGCTCGAACGTGGATGACGTGCGCACGAGCTTTGGCACGTTCCTGGACTACCAGCAGGTAGGGTGAAGGGGGGGGGGGGGGAGGGGAGGGGGGTGAGGGGAAGTGGGGGCTTCGACAAATTCTTGTTAGCTGCGCTTACCCATGGGTGATGAGCTTCAGCACGTTTCTGGAGTTCCAGCGGGTGGGGGGAGGGGGTGGAGAGGGGAGGGGAAGGGAATGGCTTCGGCAGGTTCTTGTTAGCTGCTCCTCCCCACAGCTGACGGGCTTCAGCACGTCCTGGACTTCCAGCAGGTTGGGAGGGGCGCTTACACTGGACTGGACTGTGCTGGGTTGTACGGGCTGGGCTGGGCTGGGCTGAGCTTTCCTGAACGTTGCTGGGCTGTTAGCTGCTGTTCCCCATAAGTAATCAGCCTGTGGAACTTCCTTGCCCATGCCTGAACGTCCCGATCTTCATTCCCCGTATCCCTTCCCTCTACTTCTCCCCTATTCTCGTCTTTAATCTCACTCCCTGCATGGATGCATGGATGCACACACCAGGATGACGTCATCAAGCGCATTGAGCAGCGCATTGCTGCATGGACCTTCCTCCCTGTTGGTGAGTGACGTCATCAAGGCCATTTTCCCTGTTGATAAGTCAACCTCACTGTACGTCTATCTATCCTTAGTTGCACTTTCTCACTGCCACTCTCTGTCTGTTGGTCCGTTTTGCAACTTGCATGAACCTCTTCTTTCCAGCCAAGGAAAGCAGTGTGGTGTGAAGGGGCTGGGATAATATTCACATCGGTGCTGAGGCGTTAAAAGGGGTGCGTCAGTTTGCCACCCCACCATTTCTCCCACCTTGTCCACCAGAGAAGCTCAGGGAGGGGGACAAAACACAAGCACACGGATCCAGGTGCTGCAGTATCAGTAGGGGCACAAGTACAAGGCGCGCCACAATTTCTTCGAGATAGATGTGCTACAATGCGGTGCAGAGTTGTGACAAGGCATTTTTAATACCGCACATCCGCTCATTCTTAATTCTCCTGTGCAAAGAACCAGGAGGCGATGCAGGTGCTGCAGGTACCAGGAGGGGCAGAAGTACGAGGCACACCATGATTTCTCCAAGAATGCTGCACTGTAGTGCGGTGCAGAGCGGTGCACAGGTGTGACAAAGAATTTTCAAGATTGCACCTCCCTTCTTTTCAGTCCCTATCTTGCAGAGAATCAGGAGGCGATGCAGGTGCTGCGGTACCAGGAGGGGCAGAAGTACGAGGCACACCACGACTTCTCTAAGGAGGTGGTGCGGTGCGGTGCAGTGCAGAGGTGTAACAAGGCATTTGTTTTTCTTCACGCTTTCCCTCTCTGTTTTCTGCCATGCAGAGAACCAGGAGGCGATGCAGGTGCTGCGGTACCAGGAGGGGCAGAAGTACGAGGCACACCACGACTTTTTCGAGAAGGAGGGGCAGCAGGGTGGGCATCGCTACGCCACAGTGCTCATGTACCTGACTGAGGGCTTGATGGGAGGCGAGACGGTGTTTCCTGACGCTAAGGTACGCGCAAGAGGGGTTTGTAGTTCCATAGAGCACTAGGTTACATTCTATCGGTAGCAGGGGAAGGCGCTGCAGGGGCAGCAGGGTCAGGGCAGCAGGGCGGCCACCGCTACGCCACAGTGCTCATGTACCTGACTGAGGGCTTGATGGGAGGCGAAACCGTGTTTCCCGATGCTAAGGTACGTGCAGGAGGGGTTTGTCGCTCCATAAAGCACTAGGTTTCTTTCTGTCGGCAGCAGGGACAGGGGCAGCAGGGTGGCCACCGCTACGCCACGGTTCTCATGTACCTGACAGAGGGCTTGATGGGAGGCGAGACGGTGTTTCTCGATGCTAAGGTATGTGCAGGAGAGGTCCGTAGATCCTCAAAGGGCGGGGGAACCAGGGGCACCGAGGCAGGGGCAGAGACAGCAGGGTGAACACCGCTACGCCACGGTGCTCATGTACCTCACAGAGGGCTTGATGGGATGTGAGACAGTGTTTCCAGATGCTAAGGCATGTGCAGTGAAGGAGGCTTGGGAGAGGAGGTGTGTGTGTGCAATAGCGAGAGTGAGTGAAAGGGTATCCGCAATGCTGTGCAAGATGCAGGGAACAAGGGAAGGGCTCTGTTGTCTGCTGAGTCGATTTGAATTTGTCCCGATTCGTCTGTAGCTACACCACACCAGGACCCCCTTGTGGAGAAGGATGACACCTGGTCGGAGTGCGGCAAGCAGGGAGTGGCTTCCGGTTCTCAGTATTCACAAGTGTGCTGATTCCCTGTATCTACACCACACCAGGACCCTGTGGAGAAGGATGACACCTGGTCGGAGTGCGGCAAGCAGGGAGTGGCAGCCAAGCCAATCAGAGGCGACGCGCTCCTTTTCTTCTCCCTCACCCCATCCGCCGAACTCGACCTCAAATCTCTTCACGCGGGCTGCCCGGTAATTTCCGGCGAAAAATGGTCGGCGACAAAGTGGATTCACGTGGGTGCGTTCTACACCCCATCTGGGGCTCCGGCTGTAGCGCCGCCTTCGGATGGATCGTGTGAGGACAAGGCACAGCACTGTGTGTACTGGAAGACGCAGGGCGAGTGTGACAAGAACCAGGAGTACATGCATGCTAATTGTCCCAAGTCGTGTGGTGTATGTTCGGCTTGAGGTCAGGATAGCTGCGGTGTGCAGGCCTCTGGATAGGATTTGGGGCACTCTTACTCATAAGACCAGTTAGCTGGAGTTGGTCTTTCAGTAAGGATGCATCAACCATGTCAGTCTTTTTTATCAGTGTCAGCAGGAAAGGTACTCTTACTCTTCAGTGTACACATTGTTTTCACCCTTACATGTTTAGATTAAAGCGTTACATTATGTACCCTCGGTTAGTTGTACCAATTTTTTTTAACCAACGCTTAATGTTTAGGTTGACATGACATGACGTGCAAAGAACAATAAAATATATGACTAGAACTAGAACAACAACAGGACCTACATATAGAATATATGACGTGCAGAATACTCCTAGCAGGGAGCAGAGTAGCAAAATCAATACAAAAACTCCTGGGAAGGACGGCGCTTCTTGCTAGCATTGAACACGGCTACCACATTCACCCAGTTCAGACCATCACTGGGCAGGAGCGCTGCAGTCATCAGATCGCCCAGTTTGGCGTCGCCCAGGCAGGTCCGCTTCCACGTCTTGATACGGTTCTGGCGATTGAAGCCCCGCTCGCACTCCACCGTGCTGAGGGGGAGCACAGCTACGGCCTGCCACAGCTGCACAAGGTTCGGGTACGCTGCCACGTAGTCAGTTGACTGGAGCATGAGCGAGAGCGACTTGTGGAAGCTCATGTTCCCGTGGTTGGTATCCATGGTGTGGAGAAACAATGGTAGCTCCCTCTCGCACGCCTTGAAGCACACACCTAGCAGAGCAGTGAGAGGGGCGATCGGGGCGTATAGGAGGTGTTTAATAGCACACCAAGGTACACACACACACACAGCAGACAGCACATTGCAGGCACAACCAGGTGGCGTACCAAAGAGGCGGTGGTGAAACATGTGGTCTAGCATGCCCAACCACTCGCGGCACTTCTTCATCCGCTGCGCGTTGTCGTCGGGATAGCACGATGGCCGGAAAAGCTTGGAGCCGGCCAGGTTCTTGAGGTCTTCTAGGCGGAACTCCAGTCGCGCAACGCAAACCCTCGCAAACTCCTGGCACACCGCCTTGCAAGAATAGTAGTCCCCGCCAGTCTTATGGCCTGGGATCTTGCGCTCGTGAAGCACGAACTCGTGCTCTGCAGCTTCGCCGTTCTGGTCCACGCCTTGGAAGGTGACTTCGCGGTGCTGGGGGTTGCCGTGTTTCTTCAGGAACGCGCAGAGCAGGGGCGACTGATCGTTGCCGAAACGATCCTCGCAGTCCACGTAACGCACCTCGATCGTCCGGCAAGCGAGTGACACCTCCCCCGCGACCACGGTGATGTCAACCTGTGAGTGGGCGTGGGATGAATAGTTGCTGCCAGAGGTTGATGTACAATGGGTCTCAACGGCGCACACCAACCGGGAACATGGCAGTGACACAAACGCCTATATGTACAACCAAAACACTCCACATGTCACCTGCTGCTTCTGGAACTTGGCGTTGAGCTCGTTGAGCACGGCAAGAATGTCTGCAAGGAAGAAAAGCATGAAGTGGAATTTGAAAGAGGTGACCTGTTTCGTATAGCGCGTGCTTGAAATCGTGCAGCAGGACGATTGTCGCCGGCAAAACCTTGGCAAACCGCTTGACTGCCTCTCCTCTAGAGAGCCATCGCACGTCGTGGATCCCCTGCAGCTCCAAGTTGGTTTCGCAGATGTACTCCTGAAGGTGCTCGAATCGCCGGTGCCAGTTGCTCGACCTAGAAAGCTGCTCCGCCACGTTGCGCACCGCCTGGTCTATAATGTTGAACTCCGTCGCCTTCTCAGCGGCATCCTTCGCGGCCAACGCCTCCCTGCTTCAAGGTAGAACGGAGGAAACAAGCGATTGAAGTGAGTGGGCAGTACATGATCAACACACACCTGCCATACAGCCAGTAACAATGACAGGACTTACCGATGTGCGATGCAGTGGCACGACACGAGATAGGGATTCCGCTGCCGGAGTCGTGCCACAACACCATTGCTGGTGCCCGTCATTACTCTGGCGCCGTCGGTGCTGATTCCAACAATCTTGGACAAGTCCATGCCCACTGGCGTCAAGGTGGGTCAGTAAGCACGTCGACTAGACTTGCCGCGTCACACTTGTCAACTGTCAGCAGCGTGAGGAACTCGCAGACGCTCGCTCCCTCCTTCATGAAGTGGACGTAGACTATCATGTGCTTGTCGCGCGCCTTGTCAGTACTCTCATCGAGCTGAATGGAGATGTACAGGGCTCGCCTCGATCTGCTTCAGTTGCTCTTGCGGCATGTACTTCGCTGCAGCTTCTAGCAGCTCCCCGAAACCGTACCTGTATGATACAAGCACAAAGGTTAGCACGTGATCAATCAAGACAGTTGTAACGGAACCAGTACAACGACACCAAGTACCCCGAAACTTACTCCGAAAAGTAGTTTCCCTTGGAATCCAAGGGAAGGTTCGGGACTCCGAGCTCGGCCATGAACTTGATGGTGCCCACGTAGGAGGTGATTGGCGCCTCCGACTTGCAGATGTACACGGTAGTCTTGAGAGCAGTGATGATAGTGAAGAGTGCTGCGATCCAACCCCTCGAAACTCGCTCAGCAGCGTTTGACGAAGCTTCCGGCTCTCCTTCGACTTCATCTCGGCGTGTGCATCGTGGTGTGCGGTGGAGCGCTGGTGCGTCCGGATGCTCCCCTTCTGCATGTCACGCCCTCCACTGCCTCCCTTGCCATAAGCCGTTTTCGCGCCTTCAGCTCCATGCTCCAAGCACGTGCTGCATCTCAAAATGGGGAAGCCAACGTCATCACGAGTTAGAATTAGCCACGGAAACAAAGACTCCCATGAAGTCTTAAACCGCTTATGCGCTTTAGCGAAAGCGACCTCGGGGTAACGAGCCATCTCTTCGACAGTTGGCAGGCCGTCTTCTTCCTCATCGTCATCACTTCCCTCGTCCTCCACTCGTCGGATTGGACGTGCTGCCCGCTTCACAGAGGGCTTCGGTTGTCGCCACCACTGCGTAGCACTGCCACCGCTTGACTCTTTGCGCTTCTTGTTCGCAGAGTCGCCAGCCGCATCGCCTATCTCCGTTTCAGGAGCCGTCGCTTCTGGAGGTGAGGGTTCCGCCGTGGTAGTGCAAACTTCAGGTGAGCGCAGGTCAGGCCCTGAATCATCTGCGCGGGTTTCGTCCTCGGATGAAGCAACTACGGGCTCCGGATCTGACAGCTTCTTAGTGGGGGTTCGTAGAAAGCTGAGGCCCGTTCGCGGGGGTGATTTTTGGAGTTCACTGCCCGCCTCGTCGTCACCATCGGTGGTTTCGTCAGCAGCCATGACGAGGGCCAGAGGGGTGGTTGCAGGAGCTGGGCCTACGCTAGCTGTTGGGAGAGCGTGGTGGTGGGGTGGTGTGCAAAGCAAACTCTAGACCAGACGAGATAGCGAGGAGGCAGAATTGAGAAATGAGACGAGGAGGACTGGGTTGGGTGCGTGGGAGAGACTGGTCGGTGGGTGGGGGCCTGCTGGGGAGGGAAGAAGAAGCTTCACTGGTGGACACACCTCCTGCACAAAGCAGGTGTGTGTGGCGCTGCGCGGCATTGGCAGCTAGGAAGATTGCAGGTGAGCCTAGGTACAGTTGATGAGCCTGTGGCAGTGGCAACGCGAGCCGTCAAGGCTGACGCGCACATCTGCTGACTCAAGCAAAACGCCGCTAATCACGGCCCAAATCTCGTCAGTACCACCCCCACCCACCCACCCCCCCCCCCCCCCCCCCCCCCCACGCCGCGTGAAATCGCATCAGGGTGGTACGCGACACTAGTCTTTGTCATCAGGGCGAGTACACCAGGCCTGTCTTAAAAATCAGTGTTAACAAAATGAACACTTTTTCGGCTAAGGGTGCCTCAAAAAACAAGTTTTAAAAACAAGGGTGATCACCTAAACCCACCCTTATCGTAAGGGCCATAAGGATGTTTTACTCTGATATCGAGAGGCCTGGCGGCGTGCCTGTCTTATGCATACATACCATTTAGGGGTGCGTTATACACCCCATCTGGGGCTCCGGCTGTAGCGCTGTCTTCGGATGGGTCGTATGAGGACAAAGAGCATCACTGTGTGTACTGGAAGACCCCGAAAAAGTGTGACAATAACTACATGCATGCTAGTAATTGTGCCGAGTCGTGCGGTGTATGCTTGTCGTGAGGTCAGGCGAGCCGCGAGGCATTGCAATGGCCGCCTTCATACGTAGTGTTTGAGCTCTGTTGTGTGCCTCATACACTATCTACAACCGGGCATAGTCACCAGATAGCCAGATAGTTAAGTACTCTCTCTGTTCGCATAGTCATTGCAACAAAGAATCAGAACTCAAGTATTATCGGGGATGACCAATGCGGTACAAGGTGTTTTTGTTGCTGCTTTATGCGTGTCGCACTAGTTCGCTCTCCACCACTCACAAATGTTGCCAGTCAACCCTGGCTGGAATCGGAGTCATTATATTGACTACAGTTTGCTTTCAGGCCTCTACAGTGTACATGACCGGCTGTCGCGTCGAGTCACTTACAGCTTGCATTCATGCCTCTACAGTGTTTTTTGGACGTATTTCACTAAAAAACACGCATACAGTGTACATGTTCAAGCATCATGGGGTTTCGTGGACAACGGAGAACCAATCAGGGCAGCATTGAGATAAACGCTAGTGGTGTGTGATTCGAATTGCCTGGGGCAGCACTGCACCCTACGCGGCAGAGTGTCTAAAAAAAGAAAATGTCAGCAGCAGCAGCAGCGTGGGCAAGATTTGGGGATCTCTCAACACTCGGAGAGGCAGAAGTGTAGAATCCATTCATTTAGGTCAGCATCAGGAGTATGGAAGTCAAGAACAACAGATTCCCTCGGAGGGATGGGGGTGATTCGATGATCTTGCTTTCCCCCCCGACCAAAGCAACCAGCTGTTAGCAGGGCACTAGTAAATTGTCACCTTATGGTACCCCCTGAACGACAAGCTGTTTGGTTGCACCTTTCGCGGGAATTTTTAGGCGGGTTGCATTGTGTTGCGTGCATGCAGGGGACCAAATTGAGGATATTCCCCTTCCTGAGGACCAAATTGATTAGTAGTAATTAGGACAAGCATCAAACATCGAAGGCTAGCCTAAACTTTCTCGCTTCACAATCTATATAGCCTCTGTTCTTCTGGCGAGTTCCCTAGGCCCAATCTTCGGCAGTACTGTACTGGACACCCGCAACTATGGACAGAACATGGGAATGTGGGTGTCAAACCCAGCCAAGTGTGGTGGGGATTGTTGGAGCATTGCGTACTGTTGCCGTTTGACACTGGTGCAGAGATGAAGAGCACATCAATCTGACGTGTCTGCTGGGCAGCTAGGTAGTAGTAGTCCTCCATTACAATAAACAAACGGCTGGGTACAACGTCCACATTAATAAGGACCCTGAGGGGTGGTTTGGGCTTAGATTCGAGGGATGGAGAGGGATTAGAGTCGGTATGGAAGACCTGAAAAACTTGGATTTGTTCCAATGCAGTCGATGTCATATTATGACGTGTTGCGACCCAAAGAGATTGGGTTGGGTCGGCTCGACCTGGTCGGCTAAACCCAACCCGACCAAATCTACGGAAACGCGACTCGGGAAATCACGGAATTTCCCGTCGATTTCCGTGCATCCTCGGGGGACCAGGAAAGCAGTTGCCGGGCGGGGGGATGGTGAGCTGGAAAATTCGCGGCGATATTACAGGGTATCATTCTGTGCGGCGAATTTGAGGCGACATTTGCACGAGAACTCTGAAGTTCGCAGACTATGGTAACCTTCTCCAGCTCGATTGGGTTGGGTCTGGTTGGCCTGGTTGAGCCGACCTGGTCGACCCAGTTCAGGCAGACACAACCGGGTTTGGTTGGCTCGACCTGGTCGGCTAGACCCGCGATGCAGCCTTCCTAGAAGTGATGGGTCGGGGGGTGGTCGACCCAATCGTGTGGGTCGCAACACGTCGTTAGCAATATTGGAATCCGAGTCTAAGAACCAATTCTTCAGTTGGTTAAGTGCATCATCAAAATTTACTCTAGTAACCTAACGATCCCGTTCGAGCACGCGAGAGGAGCAGGGAAGCCGCCGTTTTTCACCCACAAGCAAATTGTGATTTATCGATTAAAGCAATTCAATCGTTTAACTTTTGTCGGTGTGGTCTGTGCTGTACGGTACTGTGGTTTTCCGTTTCTGTTTTCAACATCCACACACACCCCATTTCCCCGCAAAACTGTTTTGACAATGCACCTTGTCGATGTCCCCAAGGGTGCACAGGTGTATCCCCCCCCACCCCCCCCCCCCCCCCCCCCCCCACACCGACCCACCGCCACCTTAACTGTCGAAGCCCCTCATCCCCCCCTCCGCCCTCCCAGCTATGCCACCTCACCTTGTCCTTACCACAGCCACTAACTCGCTTTCAGTGGTCCCAAGTTACAGCCAGCCTCACTGTCCCTTCAAACCAGACCAAACCCATTTGTAAAGCCCCACACCTCAACCCATCGGGTCAATTGACCTGTCCAAACACGCCGGATCCCGCTGATTTGGTTCCAACCAATGCAAGCCCAAATCCACTCTCTCACGTCCGTTACCTCGCGAACTGACGTGGGTCCCTCCCTCCGCGACCACGATCAAAACCCCTCTTTGTGTCACAGCACAGCTGTTTGAACATTTGTGTAAGGTACAACCAGCCGAGTCACCCGAACCTTGTGATTTTGTTTGAAAGGACCGTCCCTCCCTCCCCTTGACGTCAAGCATTTCTACACCGCTAACTGTAGAAGTCTTGTGATCTAGTCCTCCTGATGCCCAGCAAGGGAGGAGGAAAAAGCCGAACCATTTCCATAGCCAAACCAGGCCATTCCAATTTCCCGCCAAGACGCTGCCTTCGGGGTTTGGCGAGGCCCAACCTTGCTAAGGGCGGGTCCGAAGTAAAATCGACATCCGTCATCATCCCATGTCGGTAAATCCTGACGGTTGGAACTCTCGATCCGAGGGTTGATATTTACCGACATCCATCGACATCCATTCGACGCTTCACTTCGGACACGCTCTAGTGAAGGCGATGCAAGGCGACTCGAGCACTTCCGCTTCCTGAAAAGATGCGAGTCCTATTCCGACTCGCGCACAATCTCATCTCGGTAGGGAAAAATTCACGTCGTACATTCACTGTTCATTCTTCGTGGCGAAGGACGGTTCCACAGGGCGGAGAGCGGCTCTTAAGCTTTACCGTTTTGTACCGTGCTGTAACGTTTGAGACCGCAAAGAAGAACAGATGCGACTGCGAAACCCCAATTACATTCCATGTTCCCCCCTAGTGATCGTATTGAGATACAGCTGCTTTGCTATGGAGCTGTCGGCCGCTGCTTGCTGTAGGCAGGTGAAAATTAATCTCCGCGTCATTACAGGCCCGTCACAACTTGTCCATTTGTTCTAACGCGCGCAAACTTCCACACCTCGGGCTTCCAAAGCAGTCGTAATTTCCGCGGCGGTCGCGGCTTGGCGCCTTCTTCCCCATTTTTCCAAAGCTCTCGTAGTCGGTGTCGAGGCCCTCACAATCGGAAAACGAGGACTCTGCGCTTGTCGCGCAAGCGCAGTCCTTTCCGCTTTCCGGCAATTCAATTGCGCGTACTACTAGAACTGTAAATTGCCCCAGTGCCAAGACTTTGAAAGACGCTCCCGTCGCCGCCGCTTCCGCCTCCACTGCCCGTCGGGAGTCGTTGCTGTAAATAAACACCCGAGGCCAAATCACGATGAAGCCCGACGGCGAGTTTTTTGCAAGAGAAAGCCTAAGAGGCAAGGGTAGAGTATCTTGCGCAAGTGCCGCCGCAGAAGCCGGCGCGAAATCCGTTTCATCCTCTGCGTCGCGCCGTTCTGTATCGATATTTCCCCCCACGGCGCAAGTTGCGTCGCCTCCAGCAGTCCCCGCACTTCAGCAAGCTAGTCTCCGCCGCTCCCCGCCTCAGCGTGCCGGGGGGAGTTCCATCTGCGCGCCCACAAACCGTTGCGCGCCCATCGACCGTAGCGCGTCCGTCGACTGCTGTGCACCCATCGACCGTTGCGCGTCCATCGAGCGTTGCGTGCCCGTCTACCGTTGCGTGTCCGCCGACAATTGCGTACCCATTGACCGTTGCGCACCCATCGCGACTATAGATCAGGGGATGCACCCGGTGGGGCCGCAGCTGCGTCACCACAACCTGTCGCAACCGGGATTCACGGAAACAGCGCGAGACGAGCCGGAGGCTCGATTCGCTGTGAAAACTGTGCGCGGGGGCGGCACGGCGGTGGTAGTGCGCTTCGGTTCGGAGTCGGGCACGATCAGTTCGCGGGACATAAGCGATTGGACTGTGGAGCACGATAATACCGCACCCTTGCCCTACATCCCTGGTTCACGAACGTTTAACCCGACGGGTTCGCCGGGGAAAGCCGCCGCCTCCGCCGCCGATGCCGCCGGCTCGGCGCTTCCTCGGGCGGAAAAGTCCGCTGCGGCGGCCGCGGCAGCGGCTGCCCGCGCTGGCTGGTATTCTGAGTTTCAAGAATCCGATTGCGGGCAGGAAGCGTGTCGGGGAAACGCGGGGGGAAGAAACGTCCGGGGGATGATGAGATCCCCGCATGTGCCTGCGCGGAGTGAGAGCGGAAGCAACTTCGGCAACGGCGACTCTCCCACCTCCGCCACAGAAATGGCGGCGCTGGCGCGCAACGGAGGCAGCGGAAAGCAGAAACGGCTGGGCGGAAAGGCTGCTAGGGTTGGCTGGGTGGATAAGGAGGGGTCCCGGAAGTGGAGGAAGCAGGGGGCTGACGTGGCGTCCGATGGTGATGGTGCTGACGACAAGAAAGTTGATCGGGAGCAGTTTGCTGGGGCTTTGGGTTACCCTGGGCAGCAAGGAGCAGGTAGCTTGGTAACCAGTCACGGGTTACCGTCACCCCCCCTGACGGCGGATCAAGAGAGGGACGCTGTGTGTGGTGCTGATGGTCGGTGGAATGGAGATAGTGTGAGTGATGGTGCAGAGGAAGATGATGATTCCTGTGATGATGCTATGTCTGCATACTTCGTGTGCAGTGGGGTGCAGAGAGAGCAGTACAAGGGGGAGCACCTAAGCGTTGATGTGGCTTCAAATGCTCTCGCTGGTTGTGGGGGTGGCGTGTGCTGTAGGGAATCGCCTGAAGAGCTTAGTGAAGAAGCTATTAGAGCGCTGCGCCCAGATGCTCTACTGGACTACATGTCCTCCAGATGCCTAGCTTTTGTTTAGTACAGTTGTTTAGTACTCAAAAATGATGTTGATTTGTAAGGTGGAAAATATATCACAGCTTGTGTTTATAGTTGTTTATATATTGATTTGTTGTGCTAAGCCTAAATCGATTTGCCTGGCCTGAAGTAAGGACGACGTCAGGTTGTACAACTTTTCGTATGCTCCCTGCGGTCAACTTCGTTTCTTCTCGGTGCAAAACGGTAAATCTTGAAAACCGCTTTCCACCGTGTGGAACCGTCCTGAGCACATTACAATGACTGAGAATGTGGGAGATTTTGTACCACCTGATGTCCCCCTAATACTCGGGAACTACACCAAGAGTGAACAGAAACAATGCTGGTTTTTTGTAGGTACAGTGCGGTGCAACTGGAATCAAATATGAGAGGAATGTCCACCTCACGTTCAGCCTACAGAAAGTGTCACACAGAAGCCAACTTTGACGCGGTTGAGTGAGATTCGTTGCGTGGCAAAGGTTTATGCTCTGTTACCAAAACGGTTGATCATATCTTTGAGGAAGAGCGCTAAGGGAAGGGACAGGGAAAGGGAAGGGACAGGGAAAGGGAACAGGGGACATGACTGTTTCCCCCGATCATCATCCCCCATCAGGAAAGGGAAAATTATCACGACTCAATTGGTAGTAGCTTTGGCTGGGGTACTACTAGCGACCCTCCGCTTTCCAGGGAAATACATCAGAGGTATCAAATACATCACTCACATTCCTTGTTTTTCCCTTAGCTGATTTTGTTCCTCTTGATGCGATTCCATTGGTGATGCCTTCTAGCATTCCCCCCGCGATGAACGCTCAAGCCATCCATCCGTCGTCACGCCTGTTCGCGTGACGGAGGGGAATCAGCCGTAGTCGCATTGCGTGGCGGAAGGATGACCAGAAGATTGATTTTATGGCGGGAAGCTACTTTAGAGAAACACTCTGACTCTCGTCGCACCCATTGCATCAACGCTGTAGCTCGCCATGCATTTCACAGACACACCCACAATGCTTCATCTTCTCAAGCACACGGAGGTAGTAGGGGTCCCATCACGCGCGACGAGCCATTGCGGCATTCCGCGACGCGCGCATTTCAAACACCCTCTCATGCCCTCCTCCCATAATGCAGAAGCACCTACTCAACGGTTATGCCACTGCGGACGCCGAAGTTTGAGACGTCTCACGACTCGGTTATGCTGCCTTAGTTTCCGAGATTTGAGACGTCTCAGAACTAGGTCGTGACGCCTTGGGCTTGAAACATTTAATTCTTCTCTAACTAGAATCGGATTGGCTGCCGCGAATTTCGTGTGACAAGTTGGCAATGTGCGATTTGGCAGAGGCCCATGAAACGCACACACTACTCACTCACTGAACATCTCAGCTGATCCGGTTAAGAGACACCTCAGCATATCTGCTGCTCGTGACGAGCAGGGTCACTAAGATCCACTCACGCTGGCTAGGCCCTTCGAAAAAAAAAAAAGAGGATTTCTCGAGACATCAGATAGTCTCACACATGGTGTAAATATTACGCTCGATACTGTCACGTTCGCGCGTGAGATAGTGTCTCTTCCTACCATCCATTCAAGAGAAAGGGATGGATAGTGCCGGCGTGTGACCTTGGCGTCACCGTGTTTGTTGGGAGAAGCAGTGGCACCAGCAGCACCAGGGTTACCAGCAGCACCAGCAGCACCAGCAACACCAGCACCACCACCTGCATCATCGGCAGCAGCAGCAGCAATGGCAGCAGCAGCAGCAGTGGCAGCAATGGCAGAGGGAGGGTTGGGGCCGTCACCCTGCTGTCTCCTTGACACGATTCCAGAGGAATCAGGCGAGGATGACGAGGAGGATTCGCGGGTGGTTGTACTCAACTCTCAGCCAGATTATCAGCCAAGTGATGAGCGAAATGATGAGCGAAATGATGGGCGAAATGATGGGCGAAATGATGGGCGAAATGATGAGCGAAATGATGGGCGAAGTCATGGGCGAAATGATAGGCGAAATGATCAGCCAAGTGACTCGTTGAAAAGATGTGAGCGAACTGGAAAGGGGGGCGTGGAATTAGGGAGTGCCTGGTTACCACCTGATCTTGAGCAGGACGCGCCTGATTGGTGGGCTCGCACGCCAGAAGCACCTGAGAAACGACAAGCAGAGCCGACCAGACGGAATGCTCGCTGTTTGAAGTTCCTGTGGGAAGCAGATAGCACTACTGACGGAGGCACAGGCACGGGTGATTTACCCACGGAATTGTGCAAGGGTGGTAGCGATGGAAGTACAGGAACGGGTGTATATTTACCCACGAAATCGGGTGTGGAGGGAAGCAATGGAGTCTCAGGCATGGGTGGTTTACCCACAAAAATGTTTGTTGGAGGAAGCATGGGAGGTAGCGAGGGAGGTACTGGGAAAGAAGGAGAGGGATTGGGGAAGGAGGAGTTGGGAGGGGGAGAGGCGGAGGTTGGAAAATTGGGGGAGCGAGGAAGTGAGAGTGGGGAGAAGAGCGAGGGGAGGGAAGGGCGCGCATGGGGGAAAGGTAGGGGGTATATGAGTTGGGGGAAGGAGGGAGGGGATGGAAAGGAGGAAGGAAGAAATGGAGGTAGAGAAGGGGGCGCATGGGGGAAAGGTAGGGGGTGTATGAGCGGGCTTTGCCTCCCTGTTTGCATCTCTGGGGGATTTTCTGGTGGAGGGGAGTTTGAGGAAGGGGAGGGTGGGATTGCTGTGAGGGTTGGGCGAGATGAGGGCGATGAGATGGAGGGAGGAGTGGAGGAGTGTGAGGATGAAGAGTGTGAAAGGGAGAGTGAGGAAAAGGAGGTTGAGATTGCTGTGGGGGATGGGCGAGATGAGGCTGGTGAGATCGATGGAGGAGTGGAGGAGGGTGAGGAGGGGAGTGAGGGGAAGAAGGTGGAGGAGAGTGAGGATGAGGAGGAGGAGGAGGAGGAGGAGGAGGAGGAGGAGGAGGAGGAGGAGGAGGAGGAGGAGGAGGAGGAGGAGGAGGAGGAGGAGGAGGAGGAGGTGGTGGAGGAGTCAATTGAGTGTGATTCAATCAAGAGAGATGGCGGGCAAGAGAAAGAGAGAATCAGGGAGGTTACTGCATTGTTAGGGAAAGTTGGAGACGCTGAAAGGGGGTTGCTACAGAGGGATGTGGGGAAGCAGGGCAATGGGTCGTGGCAGCAAGGGGATGAAGGGAAGCAGCAAGGCTCCGAGTCGGGATTTGATGCAATGTGGAGGTCAGCAGGTGCGGTGGAGCATGGTCAACACGACGTGGGAGAGTGGTTGCTACAGGGGGATGCAGGGAAGCAGGACAATGGGTCAGCACGGCAGGCAGAGGGAGGGCAGCAAGTCAGTGGGGCGTCTGAGACTGATGGGATGAAGGCGGGTGATGCCTCGTGTGAGACTGATGGGATGAAGGCGGGTGATGCCTCGTGTGAGACCGATGGGGAGGGTAAGACAGGTGATGGGTCGTGTGAGGCGGATGGGTGTGACTGGGGAGAAGCGCGGAGGGGGAAGGCGCGGGGGTGGATGAGATGGAAGGTTCTGGCGGCCGTGGGTGCTGCTGCTGTGATTATGGGCGGGGCGGCTGTGATTTTGACGAAGGGGAGGGGCTGGAAGGGGAGGGGAGGGAGAGAAAGGAGTGGGGAGAGGAGGGAGTGGGGGCAGAAGCAGGAGGAGGCGCGGAGAGAGGAGGAAGGGGTGGGACTGGATGGGGATCAAGGGGATGAAGGGGGAGAGAGGAGAGAGAGGCGGGGGGAAGGGGAAGTGCTGGAAGAGAGGTGGTTGGTAGGGGGAGAGGGGGCTGAGGGGCCAGGGGAAGGGGAAGGATGTATTGTTGAGAGTTATAACAGAATGGGAGAGGTGGCGGAGGAGGGGTGGGTGGTACAAGTAGAGGGTAAGGAGGGAAATGAGGGGGAGGAGGGATGGCTGGTTCTCAAGGAGAGGAAGGAGGTGGGAGTGAAGGAAGAGGAGGAAGGAACTGAGTGCTCAGTGGGGGACCAGCAGCATAGGGATGAGGAGGAGTGGGTGGGGGAGCAGCAGCGGTGGCAGGGGGAGCAACAGAGGGTGGAGAGGGACCGTGAGAGGAGGAGAGGCGTGTGGGGTGGTTTGTGCTTCAAGGGGGGTGGGTTAGGCCTTGGTGTGGGGGATGAAGAGGAGGGAGATGCGGAAGAGGAGACGGAGGAGGAAGAGGACGAAGAGGAGGACGAGCCGATGTCCATGTGAGTGGTATTGCTTGTGGGCGTTCTTTTGATAAGCTCTGAAAACACCTGTGACTATGTCCATTTGAATCGCACTTGCTTGCTTGTGTGCGTTCTTGCCGCCATGCTCCCTTGCCCTCTCATGCTGCAATGCTTCCCTGCTCTCTCATGCTGCAATGCTTCCCTGCTCTCTCATGCTGCAATGCTTCCCTGCTCTCTCATACTGTCAATGCTTCCCTGCCCTCTCATACTGTCAATGCTTCCCTGCTCTCTCATACTGTCAATGCTTCCCTGCTCTCTCATACTGTCAATGCTTCCCTGTTCTCTTATACTGTCAATGCTTCCCTGCTCTCTCATGCTGTCAATGCTCGTACTGCCAGTGCTTCCCAGCATTCATGCTGTGGGAGGCGTCTAGTGTTGAGGCGCCTCAAAACTAGACTCCCTTGCTCTCTCATACTGTCAATGCTCCCTTGCCCTCTCATACTGTCAATGCTTCCCTGCTCTCTCATACTGTCAATGCTTCCCTGTCTGTCAATGCTTCCCTGCTCTCTCATGCTGTCAATGCTCGTACTGCCAGTGCTTCCCAGCATTCATGCTGTGGGAGGCATCTAGTGTTGAGGCGCCTCAAAACTAGACTCCCTTGCTCTCATACTGTCAATGCTTCCCTGCTCTCTCATACTGTCAATGCTTCCCTGCTCTCTCATGCTGTCAATGCTCGTACTGCCAGTGCTTCCCAGCATTCATGCTGTGGGAGGCATCTAGTGTTGAGGCGCCTCAAAACTAGACTCCCTTGCTCTCATACTGTCAATGCTTCCCTGCTCTCTCATACTGTCAATGCTTCCCTGCTCTCTCATGCTGTCAATGCTCGTACTGCCAGTGCTTCCCAGCATTCATGCTGTGGGATGCGCAGCAGCAGTTGAGACAAGTGCCTCACCACCCTGTGGCAATCCTCCCCACCACGTGGCAAACCTCCCCACCCCGTGGCAAACCTGTCTATCCTGTAACACACCTTGATGAGTTCCTTTTCGCTTGTTCCCCTTGGCTTGTGTTTCTCCATCCATTCACCATGGTATATATGTGCCTTGCTATCATGCTGTGTGGATATGTGCTTGTGTCCTATCAATCTCCCAACCAAAACAGGTTCATCAATCGTTTCGAGGAAGAGGCAGAAGAGGAGGCAGCAGCAGCAGTGGAAGAAAAATTCCTTTCCAGCCTTACCGTGCATGGCGAATATGACTATAATGGGGGATACAGCAATTATAGCCAGTATGGGTATCACGGGGGCTATAGAAGCGCTGCTGGTGACTATAGCGAGGGAGAAGAAGAGAGGTGGAGAGGGGGATTGGGGGAGGAGGAAAAGGGAGAGGAGGGGGAGGAGTGGTTCTATGAGAGGGAGTGGGAGGTATTTGTTCGGACACTGAAAGAGGGAGAGAGAGGAGGGTATGGGGACACACTGAGAGACGGGGAGAGAGGAAGGAGGTGGGAAACATTCAGTAAGAGGGAGAGTGACGGGAGAGCGGAGGGAGAGGGGAAAGGAGGGGAATGGGCAGGGAGAGGAGGGAGAAGAGGGGGGTTGGAGTGCGGAGTGGTGGTGAGGGGTGCAGAGATGTATGGTGGGAATGCAGAGGCTTATGCATGTGATGATGGTACAGCGGTGTGTGCGAGGGAGTGGGTAGGGGAAGTGTGGGAAGGGAGGGAGTGGGATGGGGTTGATTGCGGTGCAAAGGAGTGGGATGGTGCTGGAAGGAGTGAGAGGGAGTGGTTTGAGGAGGATGCTGGCCTGTCACAAGGGAGCAGCACTGGTGATGATTATGAGGAGCCCTGCTGTCCCCTTGACTATAGCCCTCTATACCATGCTGATGTTGGCGCTGCTGGTAGTGAAGATGGGAATGATGGGGGTGTTAATGCTGGTGGTGGTGATATCGGGGATGCTGTAAATGATGGTGATGATGGTGTCTGCTACAGCGGTCAATGGGAAGAACATGATGATCAAGTGGATCGCACTACAACACCTTACGGCCGCCACACGGTGTTTGACGAAATTCTCCATCGAGGCGCCATGGCAGCATCGCTGTGAGTCAAGCCGACCAGCATGCCTTTTGGGGCGCCTCAAAGGTCATTCAGAGCGTGGCGCTTTGGATTTCGAAATGCTCCACCACGCTCGACCGCACTCAACCGCACGAGCATTCAGTTGCAGCTCGCCACGCCGTTTCTAACCACTTTTGCCCCATTTTCCTTTAAGCCCGCTCTTTCTATTTCTTTAACCCCACCACTTTTGCCCCATTTTCCTATAAGCCCGCTCTTTCTATTCCTTTAACCCCACCACTTTTGTCCCATTTTCCTATAAGCCCGCTCTTTCTATTCCTTCTACCCCACCACTTTCGCCCCATTTTCCTATTCCTGCCAACCCACCCGTTTCGCCCGCTCTTTCTCTTCCTGCCACCCACCTGTTTCATGAAACCCTTCTTTCTTCCCCCTTCAATCTCTTCTTCCCTTTTTCCTTCCAATCTCTGCTTCCAGATTCCCTGATCACCATTCGAGGGGGTCTCACCATTCGAGGGGGTCTCACCATTCGAGGGGGTCTCACCATTCGAGGGGGTCTCACCATTCGAGGGGGTCTCACCATTCGAGGGGGTCTCACCATTCGAGGGGGTCTCATCCTTCCTCTGTCCCAGCTCCTTTTGAGACGTCTCAAAAGTCTTCCAGATTCCCTGCCATTCGAGGGGGTCTCACCCTTCCTCTGTCCCACCTCCTGCTCCCAACCACTCTCTCCTTTTGCTCTACCCCAAGCCGTTTCTAACTAATGAAACCGAGGGCCATGACGCCAGTATTGAAGCAGCTTGTATCGAGGACAAACTGGCTGCCTTGAATCTGAGGCAGGAGGGGCCCTGGAACCTGGGTCGGCTTTTTTCCCGGGCAGCTGACTGGTGGCTGCGGGCAGGAGAAGAGGAATCATGGGGAGATGGAACTGGCGGGGAGACGGGGAGAGTGAGGTATGGAGGGAGGTTGATAGGGAAGGAGAGTGTTTCTCGGGAGTACTGTGAGAGAGTGATAATCGAGGGAGGTGGTTTAGGACGAGAGGGAGGGAGTGGGAAGGGAGATGGGCAGACATGGTTTGGAAAGAAGGGGAGGAGCAGGGAGAAAATGGAGAGCGGGGAGAGTAGAGATAGCAGAGTTAGCAGGGAGTGAGGAGGAGATATGGGTGGGCACGGAGGAAGGGAGAAGCGAGGAGAAGCGTATGCGTGTAGGCAGCTGTGACAGCAGCAGTGGGAGCAGTGGGAGCAGTGGGAGCAGCGGGAGCAGTGGGAGCAGTGGGAGCAGTGGGAGCAGCGGGAGCAGTGGGAGCAGCGGGAGCAGTGGGAGCAGCGGGAGCAGTGGGAGCAGCGGGAGCAGCGGGAGCAGCGGGAGCAGCGGGAGCAGCAGGAGCAGTGGGAGCAGTGGGAGCAGTGGGAGCAGGGGGAGCAGCGGGAGCAGTGGGAGCAGCGGGAGCAGCGGGAGCAGCGGGAGCAGTGGGAGCAGTGGGAGCAGTGGGAGCAGTGGGAGCAGTGGGAGCAGTGGGAGCAGTGGGAGCAGTGGGAGCAGCGAGAGCAGCGGGAGCAGCGGGAGCAGTGGGAGCAGTGGGAGCAGCAGGAGCAGTGGGAGCAGCGGGAGCAGTGGGAGCAGTGGGAGCAGCGGGAGCAGTGGGAGCAGCGGGAGCAGTGGGAGTAGTGTCATGAGAGGTAGCAGCAGCAGGGCCGGCAAGAGCAGAGACAGCAGGAGCAGCAGGTTGCATTTGCCGTCTTTTGTGCGAAAAGTTCTCCAGTCACTTGGAAAGTAGAGGACTGCTGGGCCTTCTGATAAGAAAGCAGCAGCAGCAAGAGCAGAAGCAGCAGGAGCACCAGGTTGCATTTGCCGTCTTTTGTGCGACAAGTTCTACAGTCGCTTGGAAAGTAGAGGAGTGCTGGACCAGCTTGGGAGAATGCAGGAGCAGCAAGGCAAGGGGATTCTGCTGCCTTGGGAAGGCTGAATGGCACTGGGTGGGCAGTGAGAAACTGGTGAAGCATGTGTGCATGCATGCTATCATCTTGGTCCACAGTGATAGGATCCATACGCAGTATGAACATTGCTTCATTACAAACCGATGTGTGCGTGTCACGTTATAAAACTTACAGCACTGTGAAACTCACGCGGCCATTGGCTGTAATGATGCTCGTATGTTATCAGATTACAATAGAATCTAGCCAAATCAGATCAGAACCCAGCAACAAATTCACTAGATTTAGGACTAGACCAACCAGCACATCATCACCTTAGCTGCTGTTTCTGGTTGAAGCAGCAGCTTACATGACAACTGATAAAAAACACACTGGTTAGAGCTTGGTACAGACTCGGTAGACTACTTGCCACAGCACAGCAGCAGGCGACAAGCAAAAGAGCAACACCTGAATCATCATCTGCCACTGCTGCTTCCTTTATCTTAGCTCAACATAACCGAACATTGTTAAGACTCGTCGAACCATCTCTACATCTACATCACTCAAAACATAGATGCCCCCCCTTCCTCTCACTTTGGGACATACATGCCCGCCCCTCTCCCTTTGACCTCCAGCCTGAATGAAAATGGGGGGAGAGAGGGGAGAAAAGATGCATGAGAGGGGCATAAGGAGGCGAGATAGAGAGGGAGAGAGGGAGAGAGGGAGGGAGAGAGCGAAAGAGAGCAGGAGAACGGGCAAGAGACAAAGAGGGACCTACACAGGCAATTCTCCACATCAATCCTCCCATAGCAATCCGGCAGAACTCACGAGGGGGGAAGCTTCCCAAGGCCAGGCGGGAGGTCCTCCCCTGAAGCAGCATCCACCAAGTTGCCATCAATATCCAGCAGGCATGCCACCCCACGTTGCCCTCTCACACTCTCACCCCTGGTCAGAACCTCTGCCCAGAACCCTAGAGAACTCACCAAGGTTCATCCACCAGCCCGCGCTGCATGAGGATATCCAGGTCCTGCTCAAACTTTCTCACCTCTGCCCAGAACCCTAGAGAACTCACGAAGGAGCCAGTTCGCCGAGCCCAGGCGGAAGGTCCTCCCCAGTAGCCGCGTCCACGAGGTTGCCGTCAATGTCCAGCAGGTACGCCACCCCTGGCTCCTCTCTCACTCACTTCCACACTCTCACTCACGCCCCAGTTCTCACGAGGGAGCCCAGCCCAGGCGGAAGGTCCTCTCCAGTGGCAGCGTCCACGAGGTTCCCGTCAATGCCCAGCAGGTACGCCACCCCTGGCTCGTCCGCCAGCCATCCCACACTACCTAACCCAATGGAACTCACGAGGGGGCGAGTTTGCCAAGCCCTGGGGGAAGATCTTCTCCAGTGGCAGCATCAACGAGGTTGCCGTCAATATCCAGCAGGTACGCCACCCCCGGCTCGTCCGCCAGCCCGCGCTGCATGAGGATATCCAGGTCGCGCCGGTGCAGCTCTCTGCCGTTCACCACCACGCGCGTCCGCCCTCCCGATGCCTGCCTTTGCAGCGGTCCCACCGCAAGTTGATCAATTCCCGCCTAAGGAATTGAGCATGTGGGATTGGAGGGGCGTTGGGGATGGATGGGGTTTTGGACAATCGGCATGGGGCATGGAGCATGGGGCATGGGGCAAGGCGCATGGGTGAATGGGTGCATGGGGTATGGGGCATGGGGGGCGTAGGGCATGGGTGTATGGGTACGAGGGGCATAGGGCATGGGGCGTAGAGCATGGCACATGGGCCATAAGGCATGGGAGAGGCATGGGTCATAAGACATGGGGGCGCATGGGTGTATGGGTACATCGAGTATGGGGCAAGCAGCATGCAGCAGGGCCCATGGGGCATGGGGCATGGGACATTAGGTACGGGGGAGGGGCATGGGGCATCGGACATGGGGCATCGGGCATGGGGCATGGGGCATCGGGCATGGGGCATGGGGCATGGGGCATGGAGTATGGGGTATGGGGCATGGGGCATGGAGTATGCCACATGGAGTATGGGGCATGGAGTATGGGCATGGAGTAAGCCACATGGAGTATGGGGCATGGGAGCGGACTCACAGGGATGATGCCGAGGCAGGGCCCACCCACCACTCCCCAGAAGCCTGCATCCACGTCGTACCTGCAGATATGAGAGAGGAGAGAAATTGATAGAGGAGAGAGAGCAGAGGAGAGGGAGTTGGGTTCGGAGTACCAATAGGGTGAAACACTACTACAGCGAGACACACTCTACACGTCTACGACATCTAAATGCATGTTGCTCACTTGAACCACTCAACATACCAATAGGTGCCCGGATTGATGGGGCCAGCCAGCCTCTCAGCTTCTCCCACCTGGCGATCCGGGATTGGCACACTGTTCACCACCACTCTCCTCCGATACTCCTGACCGTTCCCTACTCTCTCCTCCTCCTCCTCTTCCTCCTCTTCCTCCTCTTCCTCCTCTTCTTCCTCCTCTTCTTCCTCCTCTTCCTCCTCCTCCTCTTCTTCTTCCTCCTCCTCTTCCACATCCCTCCTTCCCCCCACCATGCCCCCTCGCCCTCGTCCCATCTGCGCCCCCCGCCCCATCATCCCCATACCTCCCCTCCCTGGGGGCCCACCTCCCCCTCCGCCTCCGCCCCTCCCCGGCCCCATGTCCCCCCGCGCCATTCCCCCTCTCCCCGCTACTCTCGGGCTACCCACGCCTCTCCCCGCCATGCCCCCTGCAACCATAGCCCCTCCGCCCATGCCTCCGCCGCCCATTCCCCCACGCCCTCCGCCCATGGGTCTGGGGCTAGGTGCACCATCCGCGGGATCCATCCCTTGCTGCTGCATCTGCCCGTACTGCTGCTGCTGCCCGAACTGCTGCCCCCCCCGCCCGCGGCCTCTGGGGGAGGGGGATGCGGGGTTGAACCCCCCAGAGTGCTGCCTCCCCAGGGGGGACCGCCCATCCCCCCGCGCACTCCCTGATCCATACTGATACTGCTGCAGCTGTTGCATCATCTGCTGCTGCTGCTGCTGCTGATAATACTCCTCGTCCCCGCCCCGACTTCCGTTCCCCCTTCTAGAAGCCCTTCCGCCCCCCATAGGCCCCCCTGGCCCGTTCTCCCCTCCGCCATCCTCCCATCCGCCTCCTCCGCCACCCATTCCGCTTGACTCTACAGACGCTTTTCGCGAGTGCGGCTGGGGGAACGCTCCGCCACGCCCCGCCCCCCTTGCACTGCGCGGACCTGCGCCTGCTAGCTCCCCGCCCCCGCCCGCTCCGCCTCCCCCCGGGCCCGGCCCCGCGCCCCCATATTGCGCCTGTTGGCGCGCGCTGCTGTTGCTAGCCGCGGAGCTATTCGAGCCTGATCTGCGGTGTCTGCCTACTGGCGGGGGCGGAAAGGGCATTCCCCCTCCCCCCTGCTCCCCATACTCGTTCACCGCGTCACTCTCCCCTCCCCCGCCTCCTCCGCGCGCTGCCCCGCTCATGCTCCGCCTGGCCCCGGGCCCCCGCATCCCCGCCCCTGAGTCGTCCTCAGACATATTCCCCGCGCCCCTGCTGACGCTGCTGCTTCCGCGCCCTGCGCCCATCGCCCCCGCCTGCGGCTGCGCATTGCCCTGGAAACTCCGCGTTCTGAAAGCCCCCGTCCCCGTTGACGCGGACCTTCCGCGCGCGGACAGCGCCTGTTGCTCCTCGTCCTCTTCCGCCACTTCCGCCTCCTCCTCCTGCTGCTGCTGCTGCCGCCGTTGGCGCTGCTGCTGTGGCGGCGGCGGCTGATCTTCCGCCTCCTCGTCCTCTTCCGCTGTGGGCGGAAGGAAGACCGCGTAGCGAGACACCTTGAGGCACTTTCCGCACCGCAGCTTCTGCTGACCTTTCTTCGGCGGAGGCAGGTTTATTGGCACGGCTAGGGTTTGGAAGCACCACTGACACTGCAGTGGGTGAGAGATGGGGAACGGGGAGCGGGGACGGAAAGCGGGAAGCGGGAAGAGGGAGAGGTTCAGGGGATGCTTAAAAGGTGCAGACTCCCCCACACACACGCACAGACTCCAACCCGTTCCCCCCAACTTACGACACGACACATACGCGCATCCACTGATTCTTAGGCGTGCGCATACCTGCACGACTTGCGGAGCCTTTTGTGTATTTCGCCGCAGGCGCATACCTGAACGACTTGCGGAGCTCCGGGCGGCGGAAGCATGGGCAGTCGCTGCCGCGGAACGTCCTTTCCCGAGATCGTCCTATTGTCCGCCCCGCGCCCCACCGCCGCAATCGTCTTCGCGCGGAAATACTGCACCTGTTCCTCCCCCCCGCTCGCGCTACCGCTTCCGCCCGCGCCGAGTTTCGAGCGCGAGGGCGCGGGGCTGCGCGGATCGCGCGCGGAAGCTGCGGACATGGCCGACATGGCGGACACAGAGGAGGAGGAGGAGGAAGTGCGCGAGACGGAGGGGCGAGCCCCGCCTGGCCGCCGTTCGTCGTCGAGCATGAGTTCGGAATGGGCCGAACTGACCGAGGTTTGGCCGAAGCTGTTGGTTCGGGAAAAACGCTCGTCCTGTCGAAATGGGAAAGCGTCACGTGAAAACAAGACGACGGGAGGGCGTAAACAGCAGCAACTGCTGATAAAAGCTGATGATACAAAAACACTGCACAGAATAAGAGTAAAAAAATAATTAATAAAGACATTGATAAAAAAGAGTCCTGACAGATGCAATTCCTCACATCATCCATAGGTTGTCGTCTTGATGCACTCCGTGATGAGCTGTACCCGCTTTCCTGCCCGCCCATGTCCATACTCTCGTCCCCCGATGGCTGTCTCCGCCTACTCGCCGATCCCCTCCCGCCACCCCCCCTGGCATACCCGCCACGTGGCGACGGCGACGGCATGCCACGTGGCGTCATGTCATCTTCCGAGTACGCTACCGGGTTGCTGTACGAATGGGTTCTGTTCACGGTGGGACCGTCTTGCCATTGATCCGGTCGATCACCTTCGTCGTCTGAACGCTCAGACGACTGCTTTTTGACGGACTTGACGGTCGAGCGAACGGAGCCGCCTCTGCCTCGCCCGCTTCCGCCAGACGCTACCCGAGACGCTCCGGGAGTAGTTGGGTTCATACCGTTAGGGTTTCGTCCTGGGCTGGCTGTGATTCCTAGATTGCGCGGCGGCCATTGACCTTGTCCCGATGAGCGGCCCGGGCCGTCCATGTTATGTTAAGGAGTTGCGCCGTGTACGTCGATCTAGATTGACTGACTAAACTGGTAGGTCTAAGAAAGCGTAGTATACTTAGGCAAGAGAACGTAACTATCGCGTAGAAATGCCAGAGAGTCCGACGATAACGATTAATGATTACTTAAAGAGGCACGTAGCTATCTGTAATTGGAAAAAGCAAACAGTTGGTGAGGTACTAAGTCAACGAGAGACGGAAAACATAGCCAGGATAACTGACCCATTAGAAGCACGAACGAGATACGTCAATTCCGGAAACCGAAACACACTCCCTATAAAGAGTCGGTGGCGTGAACAGGGTGGGCGAGCCATCTCTTTCTATTCATAACTACGACGGAGACAACGACGCACGCCGTCCTAGTAGTCTTCACAGAAAAATGGCGGGAGAAATTAGGGTTCCACTAAGCAACTCAACAACAGATA